ATATAACATTGACATTTTGACCATTTTTAGTTATTTTATCAAAGTTAAGAGTTCAATTGAACCATTTTCAGGCAATGTGTAATACAACCTATCCATGTCAAACGAAAGTTATTGATACAAGACGATAATTCATTCTATGAAATCTACCTTCCATTTCGGGTATGGCCGAATGGCGTCTTTTTTTTTAATTGTTTTTGTCCATCAGCCGTTTCGAATTATTGATTTAAAAAAAATTGTTCTTTTTTTCAAATGTTCATTACTTTCCGCTTAATGGATCGATAGGAACGTTTTTAACTTCCCGCTAAGAAAATGTTCAATTTTCAAAGTTGGGAAGTTATTGAATTTACCCCGTTTTTCGAAAATCGAGTTTCCAACGGATGTTGACGTTTTGAGGTCTTAGAAAGCTTAGCGGGAAGTTAAAAAAATTTTATTTTAATTATTTCAGTGAATTTTCAAATTCCTAACAGTCCGAAGGTGATTGGAAAAGAAAATAATTAAACTATACGTACTTTCAGTTTTGCAGAGCCAATAAAATAACGATATTAATATTCAGAATAAAAACAAATAAAAAAATCTATGAATAATTAATATAGCACATTTTCTAACAAAAATTGAATTTGAATTTTCTAAACGTTCATTTTGTTAAAAAATAATTGACCTAATTGAGTCTCCTTTGAATGATCGAAGCTGCTTAAAGTGGAGTTCCATAAAATTACTTAAAATGAGAGCATCCGTCTAAGTCAAAGGACCCTCAGTCTGTTGATTTTGTCTTTAATGTATTTTATGTCTTGAGGAGGAGAGAACAATGCGCCCGCGTAGTTGTCCGCGTTTGGTTAAACAGCACCCGTCACTCTATTCTCTGGTCTCGGTCTTGGTTGGTCTTGGCGGAGGCAAAAGGAGTCTTGTGATCGTTTATTGAGAGCTGGAAGCAAAGTAAAGAGGTATCCGAGGATAAGAAGTAACGAGCACGAGAGCCGGGTGAAGTACAGCAGTATCGGCACATCGGGACAAGGAGCCAGCGAGCATAGCTGCTAAAGAGAGCCAGATCACTTCTGCCCGTTGAGAGTTAAGAGCCAAGGGACAAAGGAATATAAGAGTGACGGGAAGACCGACCGCTTAGCTGGGTAAGCTGCTACGGGGTGTTTGCCTCTATACTACTCGTCCAATCGATCTTGCTGCAGTCACCACCTGAACAGAACCAAAACAGAACCAAGACGACTTACACGCCGATGTGCAAAAGGCTAAATAAAACTCCCAGTGCCCTCACGATCTTCCAGTCCTACTAAAGTCCAAGAGGGTGACAAAGTCGCCGATCGCCGTACAGACTCCAGAGCACAAAAATTTACCGTGTCAACTGGCAAGAAACTCAGTAAATTACTCTTTGATTCTACCGACCGAAATCTAGATTTTATGGGCAAGTATTTTCAATAAAATCTGCCAATTTATGAACTCTTTTTAAGGACGCGATTCACTTTTTTGTTTGAGGTCAATTTATAAGAATGTCCATTTCAAAGTTTGATCATTATCGTTGTAGAAATGTTTCAAGTTTAAATATTTACCAAAAATAAATCCGATACAATCAATAATTGGCTTTTAAGTGAATTCGAATTGTCATAAAATTTTAGATTTCTTAACAGAAAGTTCAAAAGGATTATTTGAAATAAATGTGTCGTAGGATCTTAATAAAACTTATCATAGCTATTCTTTGAAAAACTTTAGTGGCCTAGTTTAACGATGAATTAAATTGGAGAGATAATGTAGAAATGGCAGAGATTATGAACTTAAAAAAATTCAGAAATTAAATTTTTGATGCACTTATTTGAAAAAAATTTGTGAATGCGATAAATCATCAATTTTTTTATCATTGCATTTTAAAGTTCATTAAATTATCGTTAATCTTTATGTCAAATTTTTTTCCTTGAGAATTTTACTCTTATTCCAAAATGTTTGGCTCTCCTCATTATATAAATTCACGAACAGAATAACAAAAATAGAATAAAGAGGATAAAGAGAGCAAATTTATATATTCAAGAATGTTACCAATTTAAAATTTATTATTTTCAAACACGATACGATATAATTCGCTCAATAATTTATTTTTTGAGGATTAAAATACAAGTTAACGTTGGTTTAAAATTTTAACGACTTGCTTCAAAATCACCAAAGTTCTCAGAATTCTCTCATGTTATATGTCATCAAAAATCAGTCTTAAATACGTTATAGAATGCATTCAAATAAAATGTTTTCTTTTGGTATTTTGAATGAATAAACTTTTTTTGGACTAAGAAGATAATCTCTTTAGATGAATAGTTAAAAATAGTTACTTTTGGAAAATTATGCACTGAAAAATGAAAATTAACTTGATTCAAGGGAAAAATTCTTGAACAAAAAAAAAATTATTAAATCCAAGAAGTTTTCTATTCTAATCAAAATAATAAAGTTCTTCAAAATGATTGTCTTAGTTTAAAAATTTTTGTTATGAATCAAGTTAATTTTTCTTTCTATGTGGTTTTGGGTGTTGAATTTTATTGTACCTCACGAAGATAATATACTTTAGATCAAAGACGTAAAATTTTCCAAGCTAAGAATACGAATTTCAAGACAATAAATTTTTAAATCAAGCCAGTCAGTTTTCTTTAAATAGTTTTTTTTTTTATCAAAAATATTTTTGTTCTTTCTTTTGGTCTGATTCTGCCGGTTTTTGATAGTTTTTAAAAATTTCTTTCATTTAAGTTTTCGAATAACCTTTTTCAATAAAATTTCTGAACTCAAATGTATTACTGCAACAATTTCAAGAAAAAAAAAAGAAAAAGGTCCAGTCGTTATTGCTTATTATCAAATAAGTCTGCATAATACATACTGAGGAAATTAAATCCATGACACAAATTGGTTTAGAGACTCTGGTAAAATTGGGCGGTCGTGTGTCTTATTGTAGATTGTAGATTGGTGATGGTGATGCTGATGAGGGTTATGACGGTTTAGTTATTGAGACACAGAGAACCTCTAGAGGCCTGAAGTTGCCAGTTAGCGACACTTTATGAGATGATGCAGTAACACGGAGAGTGTTGATACGTTGTTATTATCGAAGCTCGTTTATTCGTGGGTCCGGTCCGTATAGTACGCGGTCGATTGACCCGTGAATAACCAGGTACGAGGTGGCTAAGTAATGAAGTGGATGAGAGTAGTAAAGTACCGCATCCAGTCTGCACCGACCAGGGTCCACTGAGTTTATTATGATAGTGGATGAGAGGAGAGGTGTAATCGAATTTGGGCCTTCACTCCGCTAATAACAGTTAAATAAATAAAAATAAAAGTAAAATTATACTTTTAAGTGCGTACATATTACTTATCCAACAAATTCCCAGCTCGACGTGTTTTATTATATCGCAAAGAATATTTTATTAGGCGGGAATAAAGAGCCCCTGCAGTTAATTCTTTATTATCTGAGTGGAGGTGCTTCAGATTTCACGCAAACTAAAAACTTCAGGCTTCTTTCGCTCGAAAAAATAACATGAGCAGGCTTCATTTGAATTAGAGGTAGTTTAACTTTATGAAGTATGTTATTTAGCATAATTATTTTTTAAAGTTTAATTGCTTTGCTTTACATCGTTTAATTAATACTTAAAAGCAGTAGTTATCAAATTTTTTACGGTAAGAGAAAAGTTTTATGGTAATCATTTATTATTGTTGATATCTGCACTAAAAAAAAATAACGATTCAAGAGAAAAATTCTTGAACCACAAAATCATTTTGAAAAATTTCATTGTTTTGAATCAAAACGAAAAATTTTTCAGTTCAAGAATTTTTCTACTTAAATGAAGATATTCTTCACAATGATTTTCTTACAAAAATTTTTCGCATTAATCGAGTAGAATTAATGCGTAAATATTTAGGAATAGTAAATCTTTTAATTCTCTATTATCTTGTTTGGGTATTATCGACTAGACCATAAAAACAAACAAACACTCATAGACGACTCAATTTCAAAAGTCGTAGCGTAGTGTGGAGGGTGGGGATGCAACATGAATAAATTGTAGATTTTGGTGACTTTCATTATTCAGTTGTTGCTCATCAGCAGTGCAGTTTGTTTTTATCTTCACTCAATTACTCTACATATAATTTTATTCCTAATTATATTAAATATTAAAACTACAACAAAAATTTTTTGTTCATTTTGTGGGACCATCTTTACTAATGAAAATTTATCCATACTTCAGAACTGTATGATTTAGTTCAAATATACTCTTTGAATAATTTAAAATGGCATCATCCAAAGAATGCAGCAAGGTATAAATTTCTTACATTTTTACTTGTTACAGATAATGTTTTAGTTAATTTGAGCCTAGAAATTTATTGAAAAAATTTATTGACTAAAATAATTTCGACTGGAATAAATATTTTTCTTGATACAAGAAAATTTTTTTGTATCAAAGAAAATTTTACCTTTGTCAAGATAATTTTTTCTCTTTTACACTCAAGAATTTTTTCAATCTACATAAGTTTTTCCTAATATTCATGATGTATCTAATTATTTTTTTTTGTTTTTAGTCCAAGGTGCAAATCGACCTCTACTATAGACCTGGAAGTCCACCATGCACAGCAATTCGTCTCGTTGCTGCAGCCTTAGGAATTAATTTAAACCTTACACTAATTGACTTTCAAAGTGGTGAAAGTCTAAAGCCCGAGTATCTTAAGGTTAGTTTTGAATTATGTCTTTATAGTCAAATTTTGTTTAATACGTTACGATTGAATATTTTAAGGTATTAGTCATATTAATATGGCTTAATGTATATAGAATAAGTGAAAGGAAATTTAGTATAGACCGGATAGCTCAAATGGTAGAGTAGCCGACATGTCTTCGGAAGGTTCTGGGTTCGAATCCCAGTCCGAGCTATCTAATAATTTTTCTCGCATATTCTATACACTCACATTAAGATGATCCTCTCCACAATCCTTTCTCAATCCTTTCCTACCAATTATCCTGTTACGTGAATGTTGGAACGCTTCACGTAATAATTATCCGTAACTCCTATTCTTTCCCGCTTCACAGCATTATTTATATTTGTTAAAAATGTGAAACGCTTCATGATGTTTACAAACGATATAAACAAAAAAAAAAAAGTTTATTTCTAATGTATATATAACTCAAATTTGTGACAAATGTAACAAATTAATAGCAAATATAAAATTTTTAATGTTATGCTACTAAATACCTACTCCTACAAAATCCCCAGATGTGCTTACAGGGCACTGGGTAGAAGTAAGGTAAGCTAGGCCGAGAAGCACCGCTGTCCATCTTACAAGTAATTATTTTAAAAAATACACAAACAGATTTTTTTAAAAATTTTTTTTTCTATGCATTTCACGATTATGAATTCATTTTTGTGTTTTTTTTTTTTTTTTATTTTTAATATCAGAATTAATTTATAATATATTTAAAACTTTAAAATTATTGAATTAAATTAAAATCTTTTCTTAAAAGAAAGTAGTAATATGATAGATTATATATTAATATCTTTATTGA